GCCCCCGCCAGAAATCTTTCCCAACTTTCAAGGTCCATCTTCCCCAGCAACTGGCAGCGAACTTTGCAGCTCTCCAGGAACTTCTCTAACACGCTTGCTTGCACACACTTAAAGCTCAAAATTTGTTTGTGGGTACAGGACATGTTCTGTGCATGCAGCAATGCTCCTCGCCTGCCTCTCTCACGGCACATCAGTATACCACCTCTCTTCCACCTGCCATCAGTGATCTCCGTCAACCCCAGGAATCATAGATTTGAGCCACTCCTGGGACGAGCGGGCTAGGAAAGTTCGGCTCCTTCTGGTCATGTCTGCACGAAGAGACCTCCAGATCTCTATGGCTCGTACTTCCGCTACGGAAAACAGAGCCGCTCCTTCCAGCGTTCTTCGGCACCCCGCGGCCGGCCGCGACGCCGGCGGTGACGGAAGCACGCCGTGGGTGACGTAACCCTTCAACATGGCGGCGGTGGTAGGTTAGGGCTGCAGGTCGAAGCAACCACTGTCGCTGGAGGACCCTGTTGGAAACAGCTGCCGCCACCGCCACCGCCGCCTCGTGTTTCATTTCTTCTGGGGCAGGGGCCAGCGTCGGCTGAGGGGTTTGGGGTTCCGGGCAGGCGGAGCTGGTCCTCACCCAGCTCTTCAGGCGGTTTTCACTTGGTAGGAAGTTGTCCAGAAACTGTGCCAAAACACCGGCTCCTCAGTGGTTCCGACGACACGTGAGTGTCAGTGAATGTGTGACCGTGACTGTGCAAGTGTGCGGGTGTACCGGGGCTCCTTCGCATGAGCGTTCTCGAAGCTGAAAGGGCCATTTCACTGTTAAGTGGACTTGTCCAGGGAGGTCGGACTGCGAGCATTCGTGGAGCGGGGCTTCCCGAGTGTGTTGCGGGAGGCGAAGGTCTCGGCCCTTGCTCTGTACCTTCGCACTGAAACCCGGCTCCATTTTTCGGACAAGGGTGGGAATGTGTACATTTTTTTGGTCGAGGAAAAGGTTTTCTTGTGATTCGTTTAGAATGATTATAGATTAGCTCTGCCAATCTTGGTCGTTTTTTCTTACAGTGTTAAAATTGTTTTTATCCTTTCTTCACTGATGTTCTGCACCATGCTGATGATTCCCCCCCTCCCCCCGAAAACCTTCTTTACTCTTGGAGGCAATACAACTCGCAGTGTGTTGTTTCTTTTTTATCCTCTCACCATTCCAAGGAGACCCCAAGTTTCTTTCCTTCATAACCGACTATGAAAGAAAACTGCTAGACTTTTTGAGTTGAGTCTTTAACCTAGGATGAAAATCTGACCGATTTGGCCAGTTCACAGGCTTCAGACTACTAGCTTTAAGTCTTAACCACTCCCCTCACAAGTGGGTGTTTATCCAAAATAGATCTCACTGTCTCTATTTAGAAATTTTAAACTAAACTGATAACATTACCCCCCCCCCC